TGCGGGGTGCGGGGCTGCGGGGTAACGGGTGCGGGATACGAGATGCGGGGTGCGGTGTTGCGGGGTCCGCGGGTGCGGTTCGGGGCCGTGGGCTTGGTCGGCCGATGGCGGGGGTCGGAGCGCGGGGTCGGGGTCAGGCCGGGGTTGCGGGGTAGTGGCGCCGGTGGCGGGGGTAGGGCGCCGGTGGTCGGGGTGCGGGGTCCCGGGGCGGGGAGCGGTGGTGTAGTGCGGGGACAGCGCCGACGGTGGCCTGCCGGGGTGGTGGGGGTCGGGGTTGCCTGGACGGGGTTCGCTGCGGGGTTCCGGGCCAGTGTGGCGGGGTTTTGGGCCGGTGCTGCGGGGTTCCGGGGCGGTGTAGCGTGGTTGGTGGCGGGGGTAGCCGGGGTCGGGCGATGGCGGGAGTGTCGGGGCCTGTGGCGGTGGTCGGGGACCCAGGACACGGGGCTCCGGGGGGGCAACCACCACCCCGGCTTCGCCCCCGGGGTTCCCCGCGTGACATCCCTGGAGTCAACCATTATCAACTTTGCTCCCTTCTTCCACTCCTGAGGACTCTTCTTCTTCTTTGAGTCACTCTGTGAGGTGGGTTGAGCATTGCCTGGAGTGGCCTCTAGATCTAAGGCCTTCCTAGACAATGTCTCAAACGAATGGTAGACAGTGCGTGCCTCGCTGGCTAGTAAGTTCCTGATGTTCTCTGGAAAACATCTAACAAACGTAGTTAGCAGGAATTGGTGACTGTAGTCGATGCCTGGGACGAGGATCAGGCTCTCAACGGTAGTCGTAAGCTCTCTGACCGACTTGAACTTTCGTTGGTCCAGCTTGTTAATGGCATCAGTGGCCCTTTGAGCCTCCTGTGGGTTATGCCATCGAGCTTCTACCATCTCCATGAACTGGTCTAACGTCAATGACTTAGCCCAGTCTGCCATGCGTCTCCCGTACCCGGCCTTTACAACTACTGCATCTAGCCACTTGGCTGCCTTACCCTCTAGGTAGGATGCAGCAGTTACCACTTCGTCCTTAGGCAAGGTCCTCTTTGCCTTCACCGAAATCGGGATCGTTCTCAAACATGTGTTGAGTTCCTCATCCTTTCTCTCACCTGAGAAGGCAAGAGGCGGTTTCATCGGGGTCTTAGGATACCATTGACCTTGCTGTTGTCCCTGTGAAGGAACAGGTTGTTGCTGTGATGCATCAATCACCGCTGGACCCGAAGAAGAGGACGCAACAGTCTGTGAGACTGCTGCAGACGTACCACTTGGCTGTGTGCCAACTTGTACTGGAAAGGGGCCTGACATCGCCGTTAACGGCAACGACGATTGTGCTGGTGGCCGGAATCCTAGCTTTGTCAATGCATCCACGATCTGGTCCAAAGTGCTCTTCATGAAGTCCATCCTGCTGTCAACGTGCGCATGCAGTGACAACATGTCGTTCTTCAACACTTTCAGGGGGTTAGACAAACACGTTTCGTCCAATCCCTCTAACGCAGCCTTGTCAGCCTCTAACGTATCAAGTCTGGCCGCTCTACTTTTTATCTCTCTTTCTCTATCGGTTGCCTTTTTCAGGCCCTCCTCTAACTTCTGGCGGAGCCTCTCGACCTGTTGGATCTCCCTGAGCTCCCTCTCACGTGGGGTCAACGGGTTGAACTGCGAGCCCGCCATTTGACTAGAAGACTGTCTAGCACCTGTTGAACCGGAAGTGCCCGAGGAACTTGTGGAACTCAGTGGCATTCCCAACTGAGTTCCACTATTCCCTGACAAGGACGCAGACGATGACGCAGCAGAGCTTGCGCCGTTAGCCATTGCTGCTGCTCTGGCTGCTGTTGCCCGCTCTCTTGATACTTTGTCTGCTTCTTGTAGTCCTGCTGCTAGAGCACGGGCTCTACGTTCGGCACGAAGCCGTCTTTCTTCTCCCTCGTCTAAGGTCCTGAACACGTGCAAAACCCTTAATGCATCTGAACGTGTAAGTCTCCTATTGTCAGCTCTATCATCAACATGATCTGACCCACTCATTAGTTAGGCAGATAGTGTCTACACTAGAATCCCCTAATGGAATCCTACCGCAGCATGTATCTGACCGACACGTAATTTTCTAGAAATAGTTGTGTCCGGCGAGTTCCCTACTATACCGAATCAAATGGCATGTCTACAACAATCACACAGATTGTCTACATAGTCTAAATGCACCCTTAATGGTTCACTTACAACAGCATTAGTTAGAACTGGCTATGGTAGCATACAACAGTCCTACACTTATCTGTCTCTGAGGTTGGCAGTCCCTCAACCAACTAATCAAAGGTACAAAAAGACAATGTAACAGATGAAGGATTGATGGGTATGGTTGTGTATATAGTTGAGCACCAATTGGAACCTAACCTTCCCCTCAATCCAACCATCCGAACAACATCATTGAGCGAGCAGTGTCTTCGTGTGTGAATCGGCCCACCCCTGCGCCCAAATTGTCACCGAGCAAGCCAGCCCAACCACTCTTATTTACCCTCGTACGATGACGAGCCGTCCTGTCCATGTGATCTGGCTGATCAGGAGGAATTTATAGAGCGCCCCCATCTCTTCAGGAATTATTTAACGTCGCAGTCAGGACGACGATCACAGCCAGATTCACAATGAACTCCCAACCAGAAATATTTATAGACGGTCTGGTAAGCGTCTGTCATGTGCTGGCACACCCGGAGGAACTTCTATCAGCGCAGCAAGTGCCAAACAGGACAGCAGCCATCGCATGCGTGCACTACTCCCTGTGGGTTGGCATGGTGACCGTGACCCAAGTGCTTCGACCAGGGCCCTTCAGAGGCACCGCCCTTTCTCCTTCCAGGTGCTTCCGGGAAGATTGTCGTCTCGCAAGGTAGCGCGCTCACGACACCTCACCAAGGAGAGGACTCTCAAGTTGGACTAACTTCCTCATGGTAAGAAGAGATTGAGAAGGTAGATAAGGTAAGGGATCAACATACCTGGAGATAGCTGCCCCCAACCACAGATTTCTCACCAATTGAGCTGATGTTGCATTCGATGACTGGTCATGACCTCGGTACCACCCACAACGCAATGCAGTGCCACCTTAGTCCAATGCCACATCAGCATGCTCTCATCACCAATCAAACACTTCGCTGTAACCCACGGCATACACTGCCGTCATTAGCCTTCCGGCGCACCCCTCTCTACCCAGGGCGTGCGCCTATAGTGGCCTGACGTCACAAGTACCTACTGCGAAGAAGCATCATCAACGCACCAAGTCTGTATAACGCCAGCATGCCAAAGGTAAGTGGCGATCAAACCAGCTCCGATACCAAATTGCAAGGAACATGAGTATGGACGAAGCACAGAAATCCAGAATGCAAAATCACACTGAAGTCCAAGTAGTCAAAGCCAAAGCAGATAGTACATGGAACCGAGTAACCATCCAATTGAGAATGATACAGAAGAATCGTGAGTCAATGTCCATGCCCAACAGGGCAACACCAACAGCATAACCCAA